TGTGGCGCTGTGGGTTAATGCACCAAACTGCAAAGCTGTTTGAACTGCAAGGTCGGTGGATCCAGCTCACCAGCTTCTCCTTGGAAACCCTACACAGGGTCACTATGGGTCAGAATCCACTCAATGGCACTGAACAACAACAACAAAGTCCAAACTGTACATACTATTTTCCACCCAATCCATTTATTTATCTTCCTGTAAGCTTAGTCTCATTGAATGGCTGCACTGCTCCCCCCCACCCCCCGCCACCCAAACCAGGAGCCTCTTGTCTCCCTTTAGAACTATTGATCACTAAATCCTGTTGATTCTACTACTGTTGCTGCTCTAATGTCTCCCACACCGCCTGCCCCAAGCCCGGCATTGGTCCAGGCTGGGATTCTGCAATCACCTCCTAAATCATCTTACTTTCTTCTACCTGCCAATCTTGTTTTCAGTCCACTGTCCAGTGTGCTGCAGTCTACAATACACATCACCTCATGTATCCCTATACCCAAACTCCTCCAGTACATCCGCGGGAGTTTTAGGATAACGTTAACATTTCTTAACTTACTGCTTAAGCTTTTCCTGATCTGGCCCTTGACAATCTTTTTAGTGTTCCTTCTGGACTTTGCCTGCATCATCCTCACCTCTCCTTTAGGCCATGCGTGTTCATCCAGATATCTACAACTTCTGGCTTTTCACTGACAGAGTTTAAGATTTTCTGCCTTCTTAGGGGCTCTTCTTTCTGTGTGAATGTCCTTTTTTTCCTTCTTGGATTCAGCTAACTCATATTCAGCTTTCAAAATTTTGCTCAGGTGTCACCTGCTATGGAAAGCCTTCCCTGACTCCCCAGCCCAGATTCCATTCTCCCTTGGTCAGAGCACCCTGTACTAGTCTATGCCATAGAACCTAGCTCACTAGACCATGAATTTTTGTATGCCAGTCAGTCCTACCTGCTAGAGTGAGAGCTCTTGGAGGCAAGAGACTGTGTCTTACACATCTCAGAACCACCAGTTCGTAGCACTGTGCTAAATATAGGAAAATTTTTGTGTTTTTGTTTTATAGAAGGGACACACGAATGTATGAATGCATTCATTCTTCTGGTTGGGCTCATGATTCCTTTTTGAAAGCATAGGAGTAGCTGGGTGGGTGACACAAATAGTTAAGTACTTGAATCTACCCAGAGACACCTCAGAAGAAAGTCCTGGCAACATATTTCTAAAAAACTAGCTTTAGAAAACCCAGTGGGGCACAATTCTCCTCTGATACGCATGAAGTCCCCATGAATTGGAGTTGGCTTCATGACAACTGGATTTTTTTTTTTTTTTTTATTCATAAAAGAAACCATGGTGGAAGGAACTTGTTTCCTTCCTTCAGAACAGACAGAGGCTGCTCATTCTGTGCGGCTACATGATTCAGGACTTCACACTGCCTGTCCACTACCTACCCACCACATACTCACCGTCTCCTGCCCTTCATGCTGCCGGTTGAGAGACAGATCCTTTCAGAGCCACACTGTGGGAAAGAGTCTAGAAGAGGAGAGAAAGGAGATGCTGGGCCCTAGGAAGTACCCAGAGGTCCAGAGACCTTCCTTTCTGTCATTTATGCCCTATCAGCTGATGAGCCAAGACCCTGTATTTCCTGCCAGGCAGGACCCGGGGTGTTTGCCCTGTCACCTCCCTGTTGTCATTGTTCCCACAGTGTGGGAGAGGGCGATGCTGGGCAGGGGTGGTACAGAGCTCATGCCCGCCTGACTGAAGAGCAGACTTCCTGTGCTTGGAAAGGTTTGCTGCATTCAAACCCAGGTTTCTTCTGGGCTGAAAGAAAACATGACTCTGAAAGAGACTTTGAAAATCTGAGTCCATGTTTCCCACAAGTGAATTCCAGTGAGCTCATAAATGGCACAGCCTGCGGAGATTCAGAGGACCCCTGTCTGCTCCCATAAGCATTAATGGGACCCCCACAGACCGACCATTGCACGACTCTTCCCAGCAGTCTCATTTCTTTTCTTTACTGCATCAGGAGGAATGAAAGCACCATTAAAGTCCTGAACTTTTGGAATGAGATAAAAAAATAACTGATTTGCTACTCTGGTTGTGTTCACAAAAATGTACCCAGATCAAGATTTCTTGAAAGTTATGTAAAAGGTCACTCACCTGCTTAACCTGTCTGTCCTCTGGATTCAATGAGTCTGTGTTGGAAAGTTGCTCCCAGGCAAAAATCGGCAGATGAGATGTCTCCTAGCAGTTGCTGAATTATATCTAAACTCTAAAGGACTAAAAATAAAATTGTCTAATAGTGCTTTGAGCTGTCATGAATAAATAGGAACATGTTCTGTTTATGTACTGTGCACTCAGAATGCAGGTTTTGGGGCTCAAATCTTAGTCTTCAGAATGCTGGCAAGTTTCCAGAGGTCTCATGGAACAACTGCCATTGTCATAACTTTTATGCAGATGGGTTGATGGACATGAGAATGCTTGATTGTCTTTGGGGAATTTTAAAAGCGTTGCTTGCATTCCAAGGTATGGGATGAACAGATTGGGAAAAGGGCACCATTTCACTCTCACTGGAGTAAGTAGTCCAGTGAGGCCAAGTAGGCCTCAAGACAGCCTCTGTTGTAGTCCACTGCCTTTAGACAGATTGTTGTTGGTAAGTACCACTGAATTGGTTTCAACTCACAGCGACCCTCTATAGGGATTCCTGAAACTGTCAATCTTCATGGGAGCAGAAAGTCTTATCTTTTTGTGAGGAGTGGTTAGTGGACTTGAACTGCCAACTTTGTGGTTTGCAATCCAGTGCTTATCCTACAGAACCACCTTGCTCCCTTTAGGTAGGTTGTTGTTGTTAAGTGCTGTTGAGTTGATTCTGACTCATAGCGACCCTTTATAGGGTTTCCGAGGAGCGGCTGGTGAATTTGAATGGCTTTGCTGTTCAAACCAATCTTGTAGTCCAGTGCTTATCCTGCAGTGTTACACCAGGACTCCTTTAGGCAGGTTGTTGTTCTTGTTGTGTTAAGTGACGTCATGTTGATTCCAACCCATAGCGATCCTGTATAGGGCTTCCAAGGAGCAGCTGTTGAGCTCGAACCACCAATCTTGCAGTTCAAATGACGTTACGGTCTGATGCATTAGCCCACAGCACCACACCAGTATTACTGAGGCAGGTAGAGTATTTTAATTTCCATTTTAAAGATGAGGTGATTGAGCCTCAGAAAAGTTAAATACCTTTAACTTTAAGGTATTTAAAACGGCTTTGCAGTCTGGCACATTAACCCACAGCGCCACATCAGGACTCCATAGATAAGCCCAAAACCAGTGGGTTCTCTGCAAGATCAGAGAGTGTGGGAATTGAGAACAGCCTGAGATGAGAACAGCAAGTCAGTGAGTGGGGTTGTATGGCAGAAAGCCTTGGGCCAGAATGAAGAGATTTCAGTTATAGATTCTCTGCTGCACAAGACCTCTTTAAAATGACACAAGCTAAGATGTCAGTTTGAGGACTAAGGTGCACCTGACCCAAACCGTGATATTTTCAATAACCTCATATGCATGTGAAAGTTGGACAGTAAATAAGGAAGACCATAGAAGAATGAATATATTTGGGTTATGGTGTTAGAGGAGAATATTGAAAGTACCATGGACTGCCAAAAGAACAAACAAATCTGTGTTGGAAGAAGTACAGCTAGAATGCTCCTTAGAAGTCAGGATGGCCAGACTTCATCTCTTACACTTCCGACGTATTACCAGGAGGGACCATTCCTTGGAGAAGGACATCATGCTTGGTAAAATGGAGTGTCAACCAAAAAGAGGAGATCCCCCAATGAGATGGATTGGCACAATGGCAGCAGCAATGGGCTCAAGTGTAGCACTGATTGTGAGGTTGGCTCAGGATCAGGCAGTGGTTCATTCTGTTGTGCATAAGATTTGGTACTGACTTGATGGTACCTAACAACAACAACAGCCTCTCTGTGATCATTTTTCCTATTTTTTATGAAAGGAAAGCTAGATCGTTGCCATCAAGTTGATTCTGACTCCTGATGGCTCTCTATACAACAGAATCAAACATTGCTCAGCCATGAGTCAGTCTCCTGTGGCTGGCAGTTTGAATCCCTCATGGGTGCTGTGCCAGTCCATCTTACCGAGGTCCTCCTTCACTCTCACTGGCCAAACATGATGTCCTTCTCCAGCGATTGATTCCTTCTCATTACATGTCTGAAACAAAAGCAATGGAGTTGAACTATGTTCTATTGTGATCCATAAGGTATTCTCTGGCTGATTTTCAGGTATAGTTTGCCAGATGAAGACATCCTAATCTGGAAACTCCACTGAAACCTGTCCACTGTGGATGATCCTACTGGTATTTGAAATACCACGGGTATAGCTTCCAGCATCATTGTTGTCAAGTGCCATCAAGTCATTTCCGACCCATAGCGACCCTGTATAGAGTTTCTTAGGAGTGACTGGTGAGCTTGAACCACCACCCTGTGGTTCAAAGAGACTTTGCAATCCAGTGCATTAGCCCACAGCGCCACACCAGGACTCTGGCATCCTAGCAACATGCATATCAGCACAGTTCAGTAAACTGATAGTTGAGTTGTTAAGTGTCTTCATCAGTTTTGACTCATAGCGACCCTGTACAAGGTTTTCAAGGAGCAGCTGGTGGGTTTGAACTGCTGAGTTTATGGTTAACACTCCAGTTCTTACCCTACAGAGCTACACCAGGACTCTGATAGATGACTAGCGGTCCCTTTTGCAAAATGGTACTAAAACCTCTCCTATGCACTTCAGAGAGCTCTGATGAGGAGAAAGGGAAGCATGTGGGAAAAAATAACTACTTTACAGATCTGAGTGTGTTGAGGTGCATTTGGAAGCAGCGGGTCATGATGGTGAGGAATGCAGAGTGAATCATAGACCTTCAGGAGGACTGTAGGGTATGGGCTTCTGACCCTTGTTTGTGATGTCTAAATGTCCATGCTCTTATGGGATGTAGCTAAACCTGTCTTTCCTCTCTTCCATGGGCTCTAGGTTGGGGGAAGTTTGCTCGGCTGACCAGAGCACTAACAAGCAGTCGGGGTGTCCTGCAGCAGCTGGCCCCCAGTGTGCAGAAAGGTGAGAACGTCCACAAGCACTCCCGCTTGGCAGAGGTAAGGGCAAGGGGTTAGCTTGTCTGAAACTTCTGTGGGTACCTAGGCCAAGAGAAAGGCTAGCGCTCAGCACTCCCTGACTCTAGTCTTTGCTGAGTTCTACACCGGGTTGTGTGACTGAGTGAGTGACCTGTCTCCTTTAAGCTTTGCACTTTTCTTATGTGTTAGCAGGGACTGGAGACAGCTCTGTTCCACCTTGGCTTGAGATTACGGATGGTAACTCACTGTCTTGAGAGGGTAGAGAAAGAGCTGGAAGTGATCAGATTATGAAAGAGTTACATTTCAATTGTAAATATATATGTTACAAAACATTTCTCATCTCTATCGTCTTCATATGTACAATGCAATGACATTAATTATGGGTATCATGTTGGTCAATTATGTTGGAACATTGTCTATTCCCCAAATTTTCCTTTACTCTTAACCGAAGCTCAGTATCCCCTAAGCAATGAGTCAGCCTACATGAAGAGTTTTTACTTTCAAACTAAAAACAATTTGGTTACTTGAGTAATACATGCTATTATAGGAAAAGAAGGAACAGAAAACACAAAGAACTAACTAGGTAACATTGTAACAATTTCTGTGGGTATTTCTCGTACCTATCTTATTTCTTCCTAGTGTGGCGCAATAGGATAAGTACTCAACTGCAAGGTTGGCAAGGTCAGCAGTTCAAACCCACCGACTGCTCCTTGGAAACCATATACAGGGTTGCTTTGAGTTGGAACCGACTCGGTGGCACTTAGCAACAACAATACCTCCTAGTGTACTACATGGGAGCTCTGGTGGTGTAGTTGGGTTACGAGTTAGACTGCTAACTTCAAGTTCAGCAGTTTGAATCCACTGGCTGCCCCTTGGGAGAAAGAACAGGCTTTCTGCTCCTGTAAAGATTTACTGTCTCAAAAACCCTATATCTGGTCGCTATGAGTTAGAATGGACTAAAAGGTACACAACAACAATGTGCTATTGTTGTTGGTAAGTGCCGTTGAGTTGGTTCCAACCCATAGCGACCCTGTATAGGGTTTACAAGGAGTGGCTGGTGAATTTTAACCACCAACGTTGCAGTTCAAACTGACCTTGCAGCCCAGTGCATTAACCCACAGCACCAACCTGTTTATTGCGTACTGATATATCCTAAACACTTAAAACAGTGGCCGGAATTCAATAAGTACGTTCAGAAATTTAATTGAATGAATTAATAGAAGAAAGGGAACAGTGTTCATGTTTTTGCTTACCTGTATGAGTATAAATAATTGTTCATTGGTTGGCAGTATGTGGCAAACATCTGGGCCCATTACAGAGGATACTGTTTTAAGCTGAAAAAAACCCTGTTCCTTGCCACATACCTGATATTCTGCTTAGTTTTCTCATTAGTACGTTATTCACCAAATGGGGATTTAGTAAGAGTAGAGTTACCTCAATGAAAGCTCTCCCTCTAGGGACAGATGACACAAAGCAGAGGTAGATTGGTATGAGCAGGTTTGTGTTGAAATGGGTCACACATGCTGTGGTTTTCAAGGCTGACATATCTCCCTGTGACCCAGCCCAGGAGAAGTCTGGCTTCAGTCATTAGTGTATCCCTCTCTCCCCAGGCCTGGACTGATGCTAGACAAGAAGGAACTATTACTGTGCACCAGGTTCTGTGTTTTCTCCTCGTTCCTGTTATTCCTCTTCACAGCTTGGAAGGGAGGCATCCTTCCTGGATTTTTACAGAAGAGGACACTGGGGCACAGAGAAGATGACTATAACTTGTTCAAGGTCACTAGACAGTGAGTGGTGAAAGGTGGATGGAGAATCAGGTTGATCTGACTCCAAACCCAATGCATTTCCCATTTGGGGGAATTTCTTCTGGATATTGTCTCTCCTTCTCAGCCCTTTGCTACTGTATATTACAAGGTTACCAGGCTTCCCAAATCCACCTTGTCTGCTATCCTTTGGCACCCCACTCCCCTTGCCTCATATTCTTTCAGAGAAATGGTTTATTTTCAAATGTTGAAAATACATTATGTTGGCACATTAGTTAGGAGGATCTTTGTCACAGATTGAGTTCTTGGGGATGCAGATCTGCATGCAAGAAAAGGGGGTAGAAACAGCATAGAGAGGAGAAGCATCAAATTGGCCCAATAGAGTGTTCTAAAGTGGAGACAGAGATTGTTTGCTAAAGGGGTCCCATATGGGACAAAAAGGGCCAGACCCTTGAACCACCTTCTTGTTTAGTCACTGGGGACTACCGCAAGAAGAATGTGACCTCACAGGAAAGCTGAGGCTGATGGAGAAAGGTAACTGAACAACTGCATGCTTTTAGCATGTCACGTTTCCTAAAGCTGGACAGTGAAGCCGTATTTTTTTTTTAAAGTTTTTATTGTGAATTAAGTGATAGTTTACATGGGAGAGCATCAGCTTTACATTCAGCCTATCGTATTTCATTTCATTGCAATGATTACAGTCCCCTCCATGCATCATCAAACAACCAAAGGGTACACCCCGCAAGCCTGCCCCCAAGCCGTCAGCACACAGACCCTCTCCTTCCCTGAGTCTCGAGTCTCCAGCTGCTCCATCTCTCCATGTCATTGTCTCTGCCTCCATTTCTGGCATCACTGCTTCTCTGGATAGGGTCCCTCATTCCACTCTTCTCCCTTGATAGTCCCAGGGTCCTGAATCCTTTTTTGAGACGGGATCTGAGCAGGACATATCTGAGTTAGCCATCGCCTTGCTGCTGTAACTCTTGCTGCTGTTACAGGAAGGAAAGCTGCAGTCTGTAAAAGAGAGGGCCTTACATCTGGCCAAAGGATTCATTGTGTTGTCTTCAGGCAGGAGTGACCTGGCTGGGACAAGTCTTAGCTGCCAACTTCTCTCTCTTTCTTTATCCACTGACGAGTTGTGGAGAAGAAGTGAAGGGGAAACCACCTTGTCCATCCTTTCTCACGTGGTTTCCCCATGAGGAGGCCAGGTCAAAGGCTTGCATCCATCTGAGATAGGTAATTGTGAAGCAAGGAGCATGGGCACCTCTATATGAGTATGTCAGGGGAGTGAGTGGTACCCAGCTCTAAGTTCCTGGCACTCACCACTCATTTTAAGCTGAGTCAAGGAGTGCATCTGGCAAATGCCATACACAGTTTGTTTTTCTTATAGGTGAGTGGAGGAGTGGGCTGAAACAGAATGAAAGGTTATAACCCACTTGGCAGTTTGCTTAGATGTATGATTTCTCCTCCCAGGGCTTGTGTCCTCCGCTTCTTTCTCTGAAGACTGGAGAAGTAAGTTCAAATTTGCAAATAATGAAAAGGGGATTCTGAATATGAATACTTTGGTCATCCAAGGTGCTCAACAAATAGTAGTCTAATCTTAGTAAGCTCTCAATAAATGTTAGCTGGAATGGATGTGATGGATTAGTAGAAGTTAGCAGAATTAGGAAGACACAAGTTCTTTTTAAACTGGGTTAGACAGTACGTACTCAAGTTCACATCAAAAAGTTGTACCAATTTGCAGTGCCATCCAACCACACAATCGTAAGTGCCACTTTCTCTTCTTGGCATTATCCGTGTTAAATGCTATCTATCCACGGTTTTACTCAATCTAAAAAATTAACACTTTAATTCATTTTAAAGCAAAAGCATCTATTTTTATATAACTGTACATGGATACAGGCTGATAATTGTGGAGGCTGCCATCTGTGTGGATTGAGTTGTGCCCCCCTAAAATATGTTTTGAATTCCTGGATGTGATCTGATTTGAAAATAGGGTTTTATTTTGTTCCTGAGATCATAGCAGTGTAGACTGGGTCTTAAACCTAAACCACTTTTGAGTTATAAAAAGACCAGAATGGATACAGGCAGACATGAGGGGGAAGATAAATGCCAGGTGAGGACCCAGCTACATGGAAAGGAACTCCAACGATTGCTGGCAGAGTCCTGGTGTGATGCTATAGGATAAGCACTGGACTGCTAACTGCAAGGTCGTTGGTTCAAACCCACAACCACTTCTCAGAAACCCTATACAGGGTCACTGTGAGTCAGAACCGACTCGATGACATTTAACAACAATAACTATAAGCTAAAATTGATTAGGAGAGACCAGCCCTAGAGCCTCACCCTGAATCCAGGTTTCTATCCTCCCAAACAGTTAGAAAACAAATTTCTTGTCTCTAACACTCCCCACTGCTGGCATTTCTGTTATGGGCAGCACAGGATAATTAAGAAGCCTTCCCTATGTGCATGAGGGTGTTGCTTGCAACCATCTATCTGTAGGACCTGCACGAGCCTGAGATGGCACTGGACCAGCCCCCTATAAGTGTACCTAGAGAGGCTTAGAAAACCCAAGTTTGTTAAAGTTTGTAGATTGCACTCGGCATGTCAGAACTGCCTTGAACATTCTCTGATGGTAATGAGTACAGAGGCAGGAGGACGCGGGCCTGCTGCAGGCTGAGTCTGTGTCAGGCTCCAGAGCTTTACGGGCCCGCAGGCCAGAAGTATAGGTGGAGACTGCCAGGGTTTCTGAGCACAGTAGGGTGATTCTTTTTCCTAGAAACAGGCAGCCTGTGCCCTGAAATTGAGATGCCCTGAAATTGAGATTTCCTGCTCCCTGGTTTCTTTTTAGGTGCTGACTTCTTTTGGCCTTTGAGAGTTAGGAAAAAGTGATAACATTAAAATGACTCTTCACTTCGAAAAAGAGTGAAGTAACAGAACTTCCATTACAAACACCTGGGTGTTGAGCTCATTTTGCCCCTCAGCAACAGGCTTTTTAAGGCGCTCTGGTAGCGTAGTGGTTACGAATCAGGCTCTGAACCTCAAGGTCAGCAGTTCGAAACTACCAGCTGTTCAGTGGGAGAAAGAGGAGGCTTTCTGCTCCCGTAAAGATTTACAGCCTCAGAAACCCTATACAGGGTTACTCTGAGTCGGAACTGACTTCACAGCACCTAACAATAACAGGCTTTTTACCTATCCAGAATTGTCTCAAAACAGATTAGGCTGTGCCTGTACTTAGCAAGTTTACTGTCCCCGGAGGTG